AGCGGAGGTCTGCGTCTGGTCACCGACAAAAAAAAAATAAATAAACCACGGGTAAACCTAGAACCGCGCTCGGCCCATGGCCGCGCGGTTAAAAAGCCGTTGTGGTATAGTTATGGATATTTTCTGGAATCACGCATTGCTGTGCTGGCAAATTATTCAATATATAAACCGGGAATTGTTTTTCATTATGTTTAAAGTTATTTATTTCATTAAGAAAACATATTTGGCTTTTTCATATACACAGTTGAACCCCTATTAAGTGGCCACTGAGGGGAAAATGGGAGGAGAACGCTTTTAAAAAGGGTTGGCGGCTCAATCAGGGTTGCAGGAATTAGCATTCATGAGGCTAAGTAGAAATGTCAATTGATTCAAATACAAACAATTCTTGAAGGCTTGTGACTATTGTTGCACATAATAAAGCCTATCACTTTTTTCCTCATACACTTGTCATGAAAATACTACCTCCTTCAAAAATCACCATCACAAATTTTTCTACCATCAGGTTAGTTGCTAGGTGAATGTAGATCTTGTCAAGACAATCATAATAAACATGTGTTTGAATGCTTTCATCAGTCATCACTTTCGATTTCGGACTCTTATCTATCATCACCTTGTCCAAAAGAAAGCTGTACAAGGTGTATTTTATTTTGGGTAGTCGCTTAAAAGGGGTTAAAAGACAATATACTGGCCGGGTATAAGGAGTTTTCTTTACAGTATTTTACTGACAATATAAATTATGTAAGTTTGGGGCTTTGCTAACTGGCCACTTAATAAGGGGTGGCCACCTAGAGGTTAAACTGTATTTTCAAAACTATATTTCCCTTATTTCCCTGGAAGAGCATACATGTGCTGATGTGTAGTATTTTTTCAGGGTCAGTTTGTTGCAAAACCTGTGATAAAGAAGCCAGCACTAACTACTGGAGTGAAGCGAAAGCGACAGGAGGCAAAGGTCAAAGATTTGGCAACTGATGACGAACCCATTAGTACTGAGCATCAAGATTTACAATATCGAATTAGACTTCGGAGATCATCACGCCGGCTCAAAGGACAGGTTAACTAGAACTTGATAATTCAACAGTATGAGTTACAGTGTAGCCTGCTTACTTAAACATTTGCAAATTTAATGTGATTCAATTTCATTGGGATAATTTATTAGAGACAGCTAGATCACACAAAAAAAAACTGGGCAAAATCTTTGGGACAATGATCGAGTTGCTCATGAGAAAATGAGTTACTCTGGCTTTGGGTCTGTCAGCACAGAGCTTCACCATCATTGCCCCCAATAAGACAAGGACCCCTCTAAAAGGCCAAACATATCTGGTTCACTTTTACTGTGCACTACTGATAGACAGACACTTGTTTTTGCACCATTTCAAAAGATCTGATCTGCTGTCTATATACTCAACATTTTTTTGTGCATGTATCTTTTTTGTGGATCAGGAACCCAATGAGTATCAAGAACAGAATTATAACAACTTTGATGATGGTGATGAGGATGAGGACTACAAGAGGCCCTTGAGAGCACCAAAAAACAGGGAAAATGTTTTTGGAGAAATACCAGGTACATTCTGTATAGTTAACAGG